GGTCGGCGGGGTGGGGGAGAGAGACCCGGCCATTTTACACTAATGAACCAAGCCATTAGAATTAAAATGCTCGATTGAGAGTTCAAATCAAGGTGGCAGTTCACGGAGGCAGGACCCTTCCATAAAGGCAACACTTGGCACACGCTTATTCAGCCCAACGGCAAAATAATAATACAGGACGGTCAAATGTTATGAAGGAAATCAGTAAATCGAAAGTTCCGCCTTAATACAGGATTCTTCATTCAAGGAGATGAGAAGGAAAGAAACGATGTTCCATTTTGCTCTTCATCATTCGGATTAGCCAATCAGTAGAATGACTGAGTTCTCCAAACACACAAAATGATTGTTTCTATCGTATGTCACCGTACGAGCGGGTGTGTCTGCAAACAACAAGACACGCACACGATTTACTGCTGTAGGCCTTTAATTAACAAGCACGGTAGCTATAAAGTTCCGTAGAATGTTTCTTCTATCGAACTCAATTATGGATTGACCTTCTACGGTTCTCCTGGCGTAGTTTGTCATTTGAGTCGTGCACACTGATTGCAAAAAGAGATAGTCGTTGATTATGGACTGACGGGAATGCGTCTCGAATTTGCCTCCAAACATTAAGTGGGTGACTGGAAATCTGATAGCACGGACCAGAAAGGTGACAAGCGCACCAGATTGAAAATACGCGCACACGTGTTGCCGCCTATTGTCTCCAATTTCATCCTATGAGCCGACAGTCACAATTTGACACCCAAATTGTGGCCAAAGTAGAAAGTCTGATCTTTTGCATGTACTGTACGTGACATTCTCTTAGGCAATGACAAAAGAGCAAATCCCATCGAAACGATTCTTTTATGCTGCGACTTTGACATGAACGTGTTCAAAGTCTCGTCTTTTGACAAAGCGACTTCAGGCAAAACCGTCAGATGGTCAACAATGGTCACATAGCTTCCATTTATGGAGTTTTGTTTGTTGCCTAAAAGCAAGAACCCAAAATAAATGAATAAATAAAAGTGAACTGACAAAAAAATCAGCCCCGTGTTTATTTCCAACTCCCATGAATATCATCTCGATAACATTTTCTTGTGTGTTCTTGGCTGAGACGACTTTTTCAATGTTGTTATTGAATTGTAAATAAAAGTGCTTCAGAATGGTAATTAAAGTAGCCTTTGGAAATGAGTATTTTGGATTCAGATGTAGCTAATGAAATGATTGCACTCAATTGGTAAATGTCAAATGTGTAGTGCACTTATTGAAATCCTTTCCATCACAGGCTTGGTAGTGATTTAGTTGAAACCACAGTAGGTCAGTGTTTTTTTTTTTGTTTTTTGAGAGAGAGAGAGAAAATATAATGAATCATCAGCTTGCTGCACAATTATTTTAACGCTTTCACCGATTTCCAAACGAACACAGCTTGACGCTTGCCCAATCGCTTTATAAGTTGTAGGAACAAAAACTCATCGATCGAAAGAGGAAAGCACTTTTCCTTTTCTCCCTTTCATTCCGTTTGAAAATGTAAATTGCTGTCGTCATTTAAGAACCAAAATGTTTAAATAGCGATCATGCAAAGCTCAATAAATTGCATTTCATCATTCCGTCTTCTCAAAGACCGCCTCCCATTCGCTCTGAGTCCGAGAGATAAAACCATTTCCGGGCTGCGTGCAAGTATGCCCCCTAGGGGCCGAAAGCATAATAGGACGACGTCACATTGGAGGCTGTTGTGACTCTTCCTGCCCTCCCTCGCCCCACTTGGGATATCCTAGCACAAAAAGTCCAACATAGTATATCAGAACTGAAAAGAGCTCACCATCAGTGCACATTTTCCCTGAAAGTTAGAATCCATTGAAGGATGTCTTTTTTTTTTTTAAATCATGAACGATCGAGCGTTTCTGTTGGACGGAGTCCTTCATGATTGTCGTGGTTTTGACCGTGCCGTATTTGTGTGGCTGACACATTAAATGTTGTAGATCAGCACCATCCTGTCTATGGTGGCCCTGCAGATGGGGCACTTCTTGGGGTCTGAGAGCGCCTCGTAGCACAACGTGCAGGTGCACACATGACCGCATTCCAGAAAGACGCAAGAGCGCTCATGGCTCAGGCAGATGGTGCACCGGCTCGCGTGCACGCTGCTTCTGTACGGTGTCTGTTCTTCCCTGCAATTTTTCTTCTCGTGCTCCTCAAACTCCTGAGCGTGATCGTATTTTTGCAAAACTTCAATCTTGGCCTTCCATTCGGCGATGGCCGTCTCCATGGCATGCTTTTCTTTCCTCGCCTTTATTGTGGCTTCAATCCTTTTGCGCTCCGCTTCAAATTCGGCCTCCTCTCTTTCGATTGCCAGTTTCTCATTCAAAGCCGCCGATTTTGCCTGTAATGACGCCCGCTCCAGTTCGGCCTTGAGTCGGATTGACGACGTTGACGACTTCCACGGCGCGCTTCCGCCTTGCGAGCCGGTAGCGCTCGGACACTTGCCGCTTGATCTGGATGATGCGGACTTGATGTCTTCTCTGTCGCAATTGTCTGCCTTCTCCGAGCGTTTCCTGACCTCTTTCATCCATTCTTCACATTTCCAGAAGAAGTTGTTCATGACTTTATTTTTCGGATAAAACCAACGAATTTGGTTGTTCCTGAATTCCTCCTTGGTCATAAACTGCTGCAAACCGTTATTCAAGTCGCGAAAGTCTTGCTTCAAAGCGACAAAATCGATCCGCGATTTGGTTTTCACCGCATCGACATTTGCGTCGTCCTCCATTAACTGTTCAATTTGCTTCTCCATGGTTGTGATCTGGCATAGTTTGTTGGTCCGAGCCCGAAAGAGGTCTTTCTTCTGTTCTCCCGAATACGATACTGCGACAGCCTTGCCCGCCTTCCCCGCTTTGAACGTGTGTGTTTCTCTGTCCTTTTGGCTCTGCTTCGATTCCATGAGAAAAGGTTTCGACACCGATTCGGTGAAGAGGTCAGGCGCTGTCCATCCAAAGGTGATCCGAGTTGCGCTTTGCAATTCGGCCAAAGCACATTCTTCAAAGAATTAACACGCACCCAATCGCCATGAGCCCGGTGCCAGGTAAGGATCCTAAATTAGCTTACCGTCAGTTGCGCAACAGTCTGTTCTTGTTTGCGCAAAGTGTTTTGTGTCAGTCAGATCCTTGTTGATTCCGTAGCTCAGAGAATTTCTGACCTTGTCCGCTCATTATGAAACCACAAGAGCTCTCAATATCGTTGAGGAGTTTACCGGACCTTGTGGTACAAAAGCCGCATTATATCCATGGGATGTCGTAAAATAATATATTTCCTTCCAAAGTTTTCCAAAGAATTCCACACTATGTCAGCGAAGTGCTGTTCCACTGGCAATCGTAGAGGAGAACAAAATGTATGACTGAAGGAAGAAAAAAAAAAAAAAAAAAAACACCCAACAACAACCAACCGAGCTGCACTTTCCTCTTAATGGACTGCATCGTGCACAGTTTTTCTGTTTCAATGATGAACATCTGCGAATTTACAGATAAAAGATGATGTACAATGACTTATGATGAGGTATGATGAGGTGCAATGATGTATACAGAGAAAAAAGGCATTACAGAAAAGTGCTCCGACTCACTCTTCTGAAGAAAACAACGCGCAAAGGTAAAAAAAAAAAAAAAAGACTTGGCTCTGCTTCCTCGTTAAATGCCAACTATTTGCATTTTCCCGTCACCTGCATAATACAATCATCAACATAAATTATTGAAAGTTAATCACAAAAACATACATTCAATGTCTTTGGGCTGCCATGGCTATGATTACCTTTAGCAGGAGTATTCCACAGAGCTTTTTTTTTTCCTCCTGTATTACTTTCATTGTATATCTCCACTGTGTGGAGTTTATTTTTTAATGTCTGTGTACAGTGTAGTTAACGGCAAATGCTCAATAAGGGGAGTCTGATTTTATAAACACCACTGGGTTTTTATCAACCCCCGAAGGACATGAAAATGACGGTCGGACAGAAGGCAAGGGATGTCTGACACCACCGCAACATAATCTGGGTCGGCATCAGCGCTGCGGTTGTCCAAACAAATCTAGGCTTGAAGCCAGGACCATTCATCCATCCATTTTCAGATCCGCTTATCCCCACGAGGGTCGCGGGCGTGCTGGAGCCTCTGCCAGCTGTCTTCGGGCCGGAGGCGGCGGGGGGGTACACCCGCAACTGGTTGCTAGCCAATCGCAGGGCACAAATAGATGAATGACCACTCGCGCTCACAATGACATTTAAGGACAATTTCGAGTGTCAGATTAATTAACCTGGCCTGCATGTTTTTGGAACGTGGGAGGTAACCTCAGTCCCCGGAGAAAACGCATTCAAGTGCCACTTCATATCATCATCAGCTTTGCGAGCAGCCATGTCGGGTTCGCTTCGCTGTGGTCGGGTTAGCATTGCGGTGATCTGGTGTAACGCAGCAAAACCGACGTGTCCGTTCAAATGAAACCGGCTCGCCTTGCATATTCCCCTGTGATGAAATTGCTCTTCAAACTGGCCATTCTGATGACAAGTGCTGCACAAGATGTGCATTCTCGAGCTTATTCAAGGGAGAGCTGAAGGATGTAATGAGCAAGCTGCAGTTTGACAGCGCACAGTTCAAGTGGAAGGTGTGAGCAAAGGTACAGTACATTGGAGGGGGGGGGAATGGTCGAATTGCGCACAATTTGTGTGAGTGCTTTAGTGTGAACATTTTCTCTGGGTCTGCAAAGGACAAAACCAAAGTTTTTGTGGGTCAGCGCGCTGCTTATTAAAGAAGACTGATATGCAGCATAGAGAGAAGGAGAAAGATGATTATTGTTATAATCACGTTTAGTCTCATGATTACATACCATACAGCTGCTCGCTGCAGATTCCATTAAAAACAATTGTAATGACGCTGCTTGTCACTTGAATACATTTTGCTCGGGTTAAGTAAAGCATTGTATCCCTCCCCCCACCGAAAAAAAAACATCCTTGAGCTGACAAATACATACTGGATCTAAAAAAAAAAAAAAAAAAAAAAAGAAAGGAAACAAATTGAAAAGTTCAAGATGAAAAAAGGAAGCACTAAAAGACTGATGGCACACAAAGTGTCCAAGTGTCCATCAGTCATTGCAGTTTCCTGCAAGGCAACTTCGCTCCAGGACAGATTGGCGCCCATCAACAGCAGCGGGGGGGGGGTCCTTCATTTTGTCCGCCACGGTGACGCTTCCATTTTGCTCGTATATTTCAAAGCTGCACCGGAGCGCCCGCGTAGGAGCTCATATTAAGAATGTCAGGATTGGCGTTTGTGATGCGGGTTCGTTCACAATCGCGGGTTCAGACCTACCTCAAATGTGTACACTGCAGGGTTAAAATGTTAGTCGTACAACGAGCAAGAATATCGGATGCGTGTGTTACATTTCTCTTGTTCTTACCGAAGTTCCAGGTCGTAAAGCAGGCAAATAGACGGATTGAGAGAGGCAGAAGAGATTCGTGCACAGATGCCTTGTAAAATATGATAGTTTTGCTTCAGGAAAACTACATGCATGGGCGGCTTTACAATGACTGAGAACCGCTTCTCTCATCTTTAAAAATAAATCATTAAAAAGGGGAAAAAAAAACATCAGGACAACAAGCAATAAAGAAAGGCAATAACTGAAAAGATTGTGATGCTCAGTTTTACTCGACACCTGAAATGCTCATGACCTTTTGGGAGATGAAGACCACCATGTATTGATTACGATTAGATCCTGACTCATCCCGTCAGCGATTGGAAATGGAAATGGCGATTGAATTACACTGCGGTGCTTCATGTGTTGTTTCTCTCATGAGAGACACATGCTCGTTATGTCCGTACTCAGATTCAGGCATTTAGAAATACGAGTCGTCAAACTTCAATGGTGATACTCATTTTCACACACACTCACACACACACACACGCACGCACACAAAAAGAGAGAATTGTTGCATTCGACATTTGCTCAACCAAAGGTTAAGTTAAATGTCAGCGCAGTCTCTGCAGTTTTGCTTTTGCTGCGGAAAACAGTCCTTGCTCATACTACAAATACATATTAGTCAAAGAAACCGTCACCAGACATCCTGGCAAAGTCGTTTTGTGGAGACCACAACAAAGTATCACGTATTTTGAAAGTGTGAGCTATCTGAGGATCACATTGGTTGTTGATTGAAGGCGGCGATTGTGGTTGTCATGTTCGGCAATCCCTTTTCCTGTACGGATAAAAGCTAGCATTGCACCGATGTTGTTTTTGTTGTTTATCTGCACACACGGTTAATAAACCAAAGAGCGTTGAGTGTCATGAAATATCTCTCAATCTGAGGTCATGGAAATCGTACTTTTAGATCTTAAGGTTTACTCTTGATCTTGTCTGTACTTGAGACTTGACTTTGACGAGGACTTTTGTGACTCAGACTTGACTTGGAGTCGATTCAGGTGGACTTGACCGCACCCCTGGTTTAACACTGTTTAATCTACCTGAATTAGTACTCCATGTTTCATTTTATCTCATCAGATGAGCCGAGCAACAGCTACCGAACATCTCAGCAAATTATTGTTGAAGAGTGCCGCAAGAAATCTAAGCAGGTTTGTCAAAGATGTCTTTGTGGCCCTCCCAACAGTATCGGCTCCTTACTGGATCAAACTTTTCAAATCAGGCACCTGAATCTACTTTAGCATCGCAAAGGCACTTGCTACGCCCGCTTGCCCAGACGGCGCCATTGATCCTGACAAACAACCCGTCCAGGATCTCTCGCAGTCATTCGACACAAGTCTCCTCTCGTCTTATACACCTCCGAATTTCCTCTGTCAACAGTTTCCTCCTTTGTGCGGCCACGAGAGCACTCACCTGAGTTTACATTCAATGAGCGGTGCCATAACAACTCACCAAGTGTTTGTTCAAGCAAGAAGGTAGGGCTAAGCGAGGGAATGGCAGAGAGGATGATAAATCACCAACGAGGACCGCGTGAAGCTGACAGTATTGCATCCTTGGACTGTTCCTCACGCGGCAAGGTTAGGTGGGCTGTCGGGTGGGCTGTGGCTCCCTCTGAGCCTCCAGGAAAGGCAAAATTAGGCAATTACGGGCAAATAAATCTTATATCCCTTGGCAGCAGCTTTCAGAGTCCTCGTGTAAAATGGTATTAGGATTCCGATGGGGTACCTTAGTGCACCAGGACTTGGGAAATGCATGATGTACTGCACACACAATCAAGAAGGTTTTACCCTTGATCCAAAGTTAACATTTTTCACCCGCTATAAACATGACAAACATGGCTGGAATCTCGGGCTGTTGAAAAAAAAAGCTTGCTTCTGAGTGTATTTTTCTTTTCCTTTTTCAAAAAAAAAAAATTACAGGGTTAAAAAAAAAAAAGATTGGCTCCTACTTTGCAGGGAATCAGCTCGGCCTCCTTCCTCCCAAAATGTACAAGAGTAATCTGCTTTCCTGCAATGCACTTGACTTTGGAGTCAGGCAGTCCTCCATTAGGGGTCTCCAGTTGGACCAGAATGCTGCTGCTTGCCTCTTGACTGGTACTCATAAGAGCGAGCACATAAAAAAGTATATATTATGTATGTGTGTAACTATGTGTCACTACCAAAGACTGTAAGATCTCGTCAGTGTTTTATTGATATGCAACGTTGACAAAAAACGATTAGAGGCACTTAATGAACACATAATTCATAACAAAATAATCGTGATTAAAAAAATATATTTTGAATGTACTTCCTGGATGTTCCGAGCGATTTTGTCAAACAAAATGCTCAAATAGACAAGAGTTTTGTTTTTTAATTTTCAACGGTAGGCACGAGGCATATCTCAATGGGCTGATTTCTGTCTGCATTAGCGTTGAATTGCATCAGAGACGAGGACATGTTGATATTCACTGCATGGAAGCGCACCTCAATGTCCTGACTTTACCAGCAAACGAGACAAGACTGACAATACTGATACTTAATGATAGTGAAACAGAGGTATGGTTGGTATTCATGAGGAGACACACCTCAATGCTGCTGCTGCTGCTGCTGCTGTAGCAGCAGCAGCGGTAGAGGGCCATGGCGATCCAAACAGGGGAAAAATGCACGCAGGTAGTTTATAATGTTTTGCTGCTATAAACATTCTGCCCTTGGCTCTTCCCAAGCGGGCGGACCATGGAGAATTTTACAATAGACATAAAG